GAAAGCTATTTCAAATGGGACGGCTTTCTAACTGTTTTTTAAAGGTGTTTTTTAGTATAAAAATTTTAATTTTTATACTAGAAATCTGCTTTAAGAAGCAATAAGAAAACTGTCCCAAAGTAAGTTACGTTAATCTCAGATAGGTAAAGATGGGTTGGCCCACATGTGCAATAAACTTTTTTATATCTAACTTAGATTGCTTGGCCCATACCGAAGCATAGCCCACCTTTAAATGTAGCTCGTCAATCCAAAAATAAGCCTTAAATTTTCACGTATTAAATATTTAGAACACGAGAAATATACAAAATTAAGAAATATGGTTATAAAATCCAAAATAAAATCAAATGATAAAATTAAAGATATAAAATAGTGAACATATAATGATTTCATATGCAGTATTTTAATCAAATAACTCCCTATACATAAATACATAAATAAATAAAATATAATTTAGATTGAATTAAACTTATTTAAAATAAATAAATAAATATAATATAATTTAGATTGAATTAAATTTATTTCATATAATCATTTCATGCCCGTATATAACATTTTTTTTAATATACATACATACAAAAATTTTCTTTTACACTTACTTATATAATACTTAAAAGTATATGTATATCATTAAAATAAAAATTAAATATGTAAATACATAACAACTATAATATTTATGAAAATACCCTTTTTGATGTTCAAATATATCTAAAATAAGTATGACCTGACAAGCTGCCCAAGCAAAACTAAGGCTTCGTTTGGAACGATTTTTTTCCTGCTTCTTAAAGCAAATTTCTAGTACAAAAATTAAAATTTTTGTACTAAAAATTTGTTTTAAGAAACATTAAGAAAACGGTCCCATACGAAACTTAAGGCTTCATTAGAATAAATTTTTTATTGTTTTGTAAAGTTATTTATTTAGTAAAAAAATACTTAAAAGTAGAAAAATGCTCTAAAGCTATTCCAAATGCAACCTAAGTTATCTCTATTCTTGAAAAATATTATTTATACACGCATGTAAATTTTTTTTTTTTTTGAAAAATTAGACAAATTAAGACAGATTCACACACATATTATATATGCAAGACTCCAATTTAAAATTTCTTAGCTAATATTCTTAGCTCTTAACCATTAGATAAAAATAAGCTATGTTACACGCTTTTATTTGACTGGATTAGAATTCAAAGTCCTACACATGCATGTACGTTATTATTAGGTGCATGCATGAAGACAGAAAAGTTACGTGATTTTCACGCCTAACACGCAAGCATGCAATGAACATTTTGTCTTACCTATTAATCAAACTATTCAAATTGATTAATTAATTAGGCTAGGAAATTTAGATTTTATTGAGATTGTTACACACGTCAAGCGAGCTAACGGATTAATTGCTAATGCAAATGGCTTCTTTGGTACAAACTTTAATTAATGTTTCAATAATCCCAAATAATTATATTTGCTAGGTGTTTAAAAATTTTGAGGTAGTAGAGTTTGTGTTTTATATTTTAGTTTTTGATAAAAAAAATATAGCATATATAGAAAAAATTATAGGAAATAATAAGTTTAATTTTTTATGTGCAAAATCACGGTAGGAAAAAAAATCATGGAATCTGACTTATTTGCAGTAATCCACTATCTCATATCAGATACAAGAATCATCCCTTCATCATAATTGAAAGAGTTGGAATAGTTGTTGTATAATTATATGACTTTTTTATGGAGATTACAGACATTTCATGTTCGGAGGTGGACAGGTAAAACCCAACAATATAAATAAATATTAATAGAAGTCTAAAGATTGTGGTGGTGATTGGAGTGGTGGTTGTTGCTGTGATGATGTAAAATACAAGAAGACTTTTCAATTCTCTTAATTCTTGAACATCTTCGTCTTGGAGATTAACATTTTTGTAAATTCAGGCAGAGTCCAAAACACTTCAATGTATAATTCATATTAACCCCTTTGATCACATACTTTTTTAATTAAAAACTAGCAACCTTAATGATGTTAGAATTTATTGATCTTGAGCTCTATAAATTCGTTTTGTCAATATATTCTCAATTTGGCTAAAAGCAAGCTATAATTTGAGATCATTTAGTCTTTTAATTAAAATTCAAAAGTTTCTTACTATTATTTTAATTGCTTGATTTGAGTTCACTTGGAATTGGATCATATCATACCATTTGGAGTGTATATTATTTCGTCTCACTGAGAAGTTTTGTTTTGCTTTTTCTTCCCAAATCTCATTCCATAGAAAAGAAATTACAGACAAAGCCCAAAAAAGGTCAAACAAAATTACAAAGCATTAATCACCAAATTAAGGAAAGCAAACTCAAAATAATAAAAAACTAAAATTAGACATTATGAAGACAACACAAATAACCAAGAAACAATCAAGAAGGCCAAGATGCCAGTCAAACTCAGTAAATGAAAGGAGGCTTCATGCAAGAGAGATGTTCACCACCTAGAAGCAAGGCCAAGACCATCCATTGGAGGCAACAACCCACAAACCATACATAAGATAACCTCGAGATAAACAAGCATCATCCCACATCCCAAACAAGGTACACCAATGTTCGACCAGAGCGAGAGAATCAACCACCAAGGTTGTCAACAAGTCACATCCATCTAGGGGGCGAGCAGGAACCTGTCTCATCATTGTCTGGATCACCTGCAGAAAACAAAAAAAACACTAATTAATGACCACAACCGAAAATCCAAACCAGCCAATAGAGGCAAAAAAACACAAAAGAGGTCAATCAGAGAAGACATTAATTCAAAACCTTTCTAAAAGTTCGACCTAATGAAGTCGTCTACCGAGCTCTTTAACAGTCCCTAACTCAATATGTGTTGACGGTCAAATACTCGAGTAACTGATAAGTAGTTTCCTTTATAGAGAAAATCGTCCTCTTGCGCCATCGCTAGGGTTGACTTTATAAATCATACTCATCTAGCTAGTACTAGTTCTAAGATTTTAGTCACTTGTTAGATAAGTTCTCTTCTAAACTAATAAGTCTCTTTTTATCTACGAGCTATCAGCCTATCATGCCAATTATGGCCGACTTAGCTTGAACATAATTTTCTAGATATTTGAAGGCAAAACAAAAGTCTCCAGATTTTTGATAATATTTATTATTGCAACTTGAGTCATGAAAGGACCAAACTCAATAATAGTTCCAATCCCAGCTTTGACTTAGAGAATGAGAAGCAATCTATCTGTAGCACATTCATTCACCGACCATGCCTGTTTGTAAAGTCGGTTCAAATTTATTCATTTCTTTATTTGTATTTGTACTGACACTCAATTAGTTTAAGTCTTCGTGTGAGATAATTTTTTTATTATTTTTAAAGTAATTTTTTAGTACAAGAATTTTTAATTTAAAAAATTTTGTACTAAAAAATTGCTTTATAAGTAGTAACAAAGTCGTCCCAAGGCTATATTTGGGACATCCTTCTCAATGCTTTCTAAAATGACTTTTTAGTTGAAATTTTCTTGAATTAGAAAATTTTATACTAAAAAAACGTTCTAGAAATCAATAACAAAGTTGTTCCAAACGAATTCTAAATGTGATGAGTTTTAAATCTATTTAATCTTGTTTATTATCATTATTTTCATAAAAAATGAAGTCTAAATGTGATGAGCTTTAGACGAGAATAATGACATGTTCATAATTTTTAAAATATAATATATTTTTTTTAAAATTATGATAGATGATATTTAGTCAACATTTTATAATTAAGGAATAAAGTTAATTAGAATATTTTAATCCAATTTATATAAAAATAGAATCTAAAAATTAGCAAGAGGGGATTATTTGAGAATAAAAATGTATGATTTTTCCTATGGGGAATAACAAAAATTAAATATCTATAGATGGACAATTAACATCTAACAACGATGCTTACTTTCTCCGATAGGGATTATAGAAAGTATATGTCAACATGCAGACAACTATACCCAACAACATAGTTCAATCTTATCAGGATTCTAGAGATTGTGGCAGTGGTTGATGGTGATGGTTGTTGGTGAGAGTGGTGGTCGTCGATAGCAATAATTGGTGGTGGTCTTTTGTGGTGATAAATGAAAAAATATAAGGGTGTTCTATATTTTTCTCCTTTCCTCGTTATTTCTCTTCTTTCCTCGTCCCTCTCCCATGTGAAGAATAATGCTTTATTTATAGATTTTTTGGGAATGACATTTTGTTAATTTGAACCATAATTTAAAACACTCAATCATACGTTCCATATCAAAATTCCCTTGATCATGAAAGTATTTATTCAACATTTAAATGTATTATGATGTCAAAATTGAGTGATCTTAGGCTTGTTGGATTCGTCTCATCGAGCCGCTCGATTCAACAATAAGCATATTGAATGCATTTAGAGATATTTGTTCATTCAATTAATGTTTTAAGTTTTTAATTATGATTCAAGTGTTTGATTTTGACTCATTTAAGTTAGGATTAAAACGCTTTTGATATCTTTGGGTTCATCTTATTGAGATGTTTAGTTCAACTATAAATTTGCGGAGATTGAAGTTCATATGGTCTTGAATTTAATTCCAAAAGTTTCCAAATTAAATTTTGCGTGCCTCTAGATTTGTATAGATCATATGATTTTTCTGAAGTCATATCTAACTTAATTTTTTTTCCATTTTTTTAAATCTTTCTAATCAGACAAAAGAGGAAGATAAAGAAATAAAAGTTTGTTTGATGCAACTATAATTTTTTGTGAAGACGGTTGTAAAATTATGCAAGTAAAACAACTTTTTCGCATCTGTTGTAAAATGTGGCTTCATAGCATATATTTTTTTTGAAAGCAGCAGCTATATAGAAATTTTGATTATGATTTGAAAATCAAAGCAGAAAAAAATTTGTCCCAAATAGACCCTAAGTCTCTCATACAACTTTGCCTCTCATCTTCCTTAACAGCCTTCTTAGTAAGAAAAAAATCTCATCTTATATACATAACTAGGATCATGAGGCCCACTTTCCTTTAATAATTAGCTTGCCTTTCAAAGCACTCTTTCCCTTCATCTCTCTTCTTCCATCCATCCTTTCTCTTTCTCCCTCTCTTCCCAGTTCCCACTCCCTTCTGAATGTCCCATTCCAGGTAAGAAATTCACATCGCTACAGCAAAACAAAATCTCAATATCCTTCTCATCCATATTAAATTTCATTGTGTTCACTAGGAAGAAGATTGAAGATAGAGGCAAGAATATCATAGAAGAAACAGATGCGGAGACCGTCTCTATTGCTACTATCGCAAACACAAAGCAACAAGTACTGAACACTTCAACACCCTGCGCTGCCTGCAAGCTTCTGCGCAGGCGGTGTGTGTTGGAGTGCCCTTTCTTCCCTTACTTCTCCCCTAATGAGCCCCAAAAATTTGCAGCCATACATAAGGTCTTTGGTGCTAGCAATGTCTCCAAGATGCTAATGGTAATTAACTATTGAATTTTTTCTTTTAGAAATAAGCAGCTTGATCCTCTTTATGATGACTTTTTTACTGCTTCTTAAAGCAATTTTTCAGTGTAAAAGTTGCTTTAAGAAGCAACAAAAAAGTCATCCTAAACGAAGCTGAATTGCCCTACCCTAACTTCATTTTGGTTTGGATCCTTTTTTATTTTTATATTTTTCTCTTTTAAAAATAACTACAAATATCACATATCTAACAATTATAGCTTAATATTTATCTATATAATATTCTAATTTCTAAAGAATAATTTATTTAAAATAAAATCTCTCTCTCTCTCGAACTTGATGTCATTCAGGCGAAGGAAGTTCCTTTTTGTTTTTTTCTCTTGAATTTTTTTAGGAGATATTAATTTGTAGTTCATATGTGTTGTAGGAAGTTCCAGAAGCACTGAGAGCTGATGCTGCGAACAGCTTAGTCTATGAGGCCAACTTAAGGCTTCAGGATCCAGTTTATGGATGCATGGGAGCTATCATAGTCCTTCAGAAAAAAGTACAGGAGCTGGAAACGCAGCTCCGAGCAATGAAAGAAGAGCTCTTGAAGCATTCATACGGCCAAAGTAGTGTAAGTTCGATGCCTTCATCGGTTGCCGGCGCCTCCGCCGTGCAATGGCCGCCGCTGCTGCCTGAGTTTCTCTCTTCATCTTCCATATCTATGAACAGTCAGTGGCAGAATCACAATTGAAAGTCTGAGTGAAAAAAATCTCTTCCAAAGTTATAAAATGCAAAACTTTCATGTTACAAATCAATATAGTTTTATATGTCAATTTTTTTAAGCCCAAATTAATAATAATTGATTCAGAATATTCTAAAATATAATTTTCCCATTAATGTTTGTAATTATTTCATGAAAAAGATGAACAAAAAAAGCTTTAAATGAAATAGATCAACTAATTTTGATATGTCAGAAGGTTCAGAGCAATAGTAATAAATAAATAAATAACTCTTAAATAGATATGAGGGGATCATTAAAAGTTAATTTAATAATTATTATTTATTCAATGAAATTTTAGGCTGTACCCATATTACTTGCCTCTTAGAAATGAAAAAAATAATAATAAATTTACTCGATCTTATAATTTATTTTTGTTCTGAAATATTTGTGATGGTAGAGATGATTTTCATATCTAATATAAATATTCATATATAAAAAATAAAAGTATGGCATGTACCAAAGTAATTTTTTTTTTTTTAATATGATAAATCATGTGAAGTTATAAAATGTTTGTTGTGAGATACATGTTGGTATAGGCAATGCATGTTAGAATAGGCTAATGGCGAGTGTTGAATAATTATGGGTTGTGTTGGGTATTGAAAGTTAAGCATTGGAGGACAACGAGCGTCAACATTAATAGACGATTGGTGTTAGATGATGATCATTAGAAGTTAGGCATTAAGCATTCATCCATGATGAACATTATACAATAAGAGTCAAGAGACATTATAGATTTGGGTGGTGGAGGACATCGAGCTTCAACATTGGTCGATGGTTGGTGTCATAAAATGATTGATGATGACGTGAGTTGAAGTTAAGTGTGGAAAGGTGGGTTATATGATTATTCTCTTATTAAGAGAAAGAATGGGTGGTTAAGTAGTTGCAATATGGAAATGATAGGTAAGTAGAACAATCGACTAATTGGCACATCCTTCTGCTTTCTTCTTTTTCCAAAAAATTGTTTAAACTTTGGCGCATTATAATAATAATATGCAATCTCTGACAAATTATCCCCGTAGCACAACATGCATCTGTTAACACAACAATATATTTTTATAGTTTTCAAACAAAGTTTGAAAACTAATTTTTTAGTTCAGTATAAATTTGTTGAATTTATACTATATGTCAGATTGGTCTATTTAAGTAGGCTAATGAATTGATTAAAGTATTCTATGGGTACATTATATTATATTTTTATGCTTAACATCTTCATAGAAATAAGTAACTATAAGTGAGTTATGCACTAATTACAAATTGGTTGTTGCATAGTGTGCAAAAAATCATAGAAAATTTGTACCACCTTATTCTGAGACTTTTATGTATGTTGTTAAAATTAGGGCCTAGTTGCATCATAAGCCAAGTTCTCAAATTAATGTCCTAACTCTATCTTCCTCAACTATGCTGGAACTTGTAGACGGTTGTATGGAGAGTCGAAATGAGGCTCGCACTCAACATGTGAATTCCAATATATTGCAGGAAAGTGTCTATCGAGTCAACTCCTTTATACTATGTAAACAATATTTCTACTTCCTTTTTCTGTCGGTAAGCCCCTGGCCAAAAATATTTCGGACGGAGTAAAATTTCTAACGCGCGATTTACCATCGACTAAAGTTTCGTCGGAATTTCATGGTTATTGACGAATTTTGGCCGCCAATAACACATGATTTTCCTGTCGTGATACCAATATTCTGGCATGAATTCTTTATGATATAGATCAACAATATTCTCATATGGTGTGAGGTTGACTTGATTTTATCTTTTGAACATGGATAATGAAACCTCCCATTTGATATAAATTAAGGAAGGCAATTGATAGCTTGCATAAATGAAATAACTTACTTCGTTTAAAAATTCATCTATTAATGTCTTAGGTCAATGCAACAATCGGTTATATATCCAACTTCTATTATTTTGAATATCCATAACACACTTTGACTATAAATTCTTACGACCAAATAAAAAGATTTGTATCAATTAAAAAAAAAATTAGTTAATGCTACTTCACATCAGCTTCATAATTTTAGGAATTTACATGGATGTGACGACATAAATCTATCAATGCTAATGTTGACACTTTAGGTAATAACTCAAGTTTTAGATGATAGGATGGATGGATATGCGTCAAGCCCTTTAGTTGTGCTGCTCAGTTGTTGCTAGCAGATTCATATGATAGAGAATATCATGCTCTTGTGTCGCTTCCATTACACACTCATTACACTCTACTTTTTCTTTTGTTATTATGCTCAAGTCCCACATTGATATCTTCATCCCTCTCTTCCTTCATAGAGTTCAAGAATGTCTATATATTTGGAAATAAAAGAATGCGTGTCAATTACTACAATACAAAAATGAATCATCATGTCGTCACTAATCCACTTGAGCATCCTCATATTTACAACATATATTTAACTTAATATCATGCATCGATTTTAATGGCTAACATTCTACACCATAAAGCATTATAGGTCTCATCACCACATCTTATAAACTTTTCCCTTAAATTTGATGGTGACTTTTATATCATACAACAAGCTCGATACATTCCTCCACTTCAACCATCCAATATGAATTATGCTAATAATATCTCCATCTATTACACCATCACTATAAATAATAGACCCAAGATATCTAAAATGTGTACTCTTTTTAGTGAATTGTCCTCACAAAATCACTATCCCTCCCATTAGACTCTAAGATTGACCTTTATAATTCAAGTTTGCATTCAACTCCCTCTCTAGTCTTATTAACAAAGACGTAATCATCATCAAAATTCATACCTTGCGGTGGTAATAGATTTAGGGTTTGGACAAAGATGTGAAAAAGGAAGAAAGATGGATACCTTGCAAAGAATAAAGTCCCTTTTGCTCAATTTCTACTGCTGTAGAAGAATGGTGAGGAGTGCGAGTTCCAATGCGAAAGTTTGGAAAAGAAGTGATTAAAAGGAAGAAAGATGATACCTTCTCAAGGATCCAACTCCATCTCCGACTTCGGCTACTGATAGAGTCAGGAAGGATCGGAGGTACGACGGTTGCGAATGAAGGATGTTAGCCGGCGGCTGCGATGAAGAAGAACAGAGAGGAAGTTTGACTTCGAATGCAAGAGGAAGGAACGTCGTCGAAAGAGGAAATTCCATAGGGAACGCCCTCAAAGGAGTCGAGCGAAGTCCAGATATAGCGGACGAGAACATAAATAACAAATGAAACAAATGCTAAGTCAGTTAGTTAGAAAGGGTTATTTGCGTTGGATTTGAGGCAGATTTGAAGCATAGTTGTCGTGAAATTTCCGTAGCAAAAAAAAATATGACGAATATTTTCATCGATCGCAACTCCATTATAATTTCCAAGAAAAAAAATTCGTCGCAAAGGCCGCAAAATTTTTTTGACTTTCCTCTAGTTCTAGTTGGGCCAAGTTTCGCCCAAGTGATCATTTGATGGGCAAAGATGATAGATATCCATGAAGTCATTGTGATGTAGAACGGGGAGGAGGATTGAATCGTAAGGGTCTTGAAGAGCAAATTCAGAAGTCTAAACAGCAGCTTTTACAGCAGGGACAACAGTTTTGCATATATTTCATCATCCACATCAACAATCTCTTGAGTCCACAAAGCATTGATCAAAGAATAAAGTGTACACTTGAAATCACTTGACACTACAATTTCGACATAATTGATGTATCAAAATTGTGATGATTGGATCATCCATAATAATTCTAGAAAAGTAGAGGATATAATTTATCATCATCACAGATAGAAGATTATCTTAGTATGGAATTGATTATCTCTTTGAGCTCACATAACAACATTAATGGTTCATAAATCAAAATATTTTTAGCTCAAGTTTTGGGCCATTAAAAATTACATTTAAATATTATTTTCAGGAAAAATGTTCATCTCTTTACATGTTTACTCATCATAAATAGTTCATAATTTTGTAGTTTACAAAGTTCACAAAAGCATTGAGAAGTTTTCATTTATAATTTTTTGGCATCAAAATATGTGTGATTCAGATGATTTCATCCTATTTCATTAGCTCAATGTAGTTTTAATGATGAGGGGTTTTCAAAGATGGCATTGGTCTATATTTCAAATAGTTGGAGGGGCAACAATAGTGGAAATATAAGAGTCATATTTGTATAAGTTGCGTGAAATAAGATGAAATAATGAAATTTGTAGGTTGACTTTTATTTGTAAATTTTATCGTTTTGTAGCACCCAAATGAATTTTGATTCATACACTACAGGAAAAATGCCCTAAACCGGAGGTTCTAACTGGCGGTTTTAGGACCGCCGGTAGTACCGGCGGTACCACCGGCGGTTTGGCCGTCGGCTATTAACGACGGCTGCACCGGTGATTTTGTAAATATAAGCCGCCGGTAAGGGTGGCGGTCCCTAAACCGACGGTAAACCGTCGGACGTCAACAAGAACCGGCGGTTTAGACCGCCGTTGATAAGTGACTTTGTACCGGCGGTCAAAACCGCCGGAAAACCGCCGGTTTAAGCCCTAATACACCGAGCCCCGCGTCTGGCATTTCATTTTAACTCTTTCCTTCTCTCTCGGTCGCTCGCTCTCCCGTCGCTCGCTCTCCTGTCGCTCGCTCTTTCCTAGGGTTGCCTCCGCTCATCCGACCGCCGCCTCCGCTCGTCCGACCGCCGCCTCCGCTCGTCCGACCGCCGGATAAGAATCTCCTCCGGCTACCGCCCCCAATCCGACGCCGCCGACGACGTTTGTCCGGCCCAAATCTGACCGCCGCCCCCAATCGGAATCGCCTCCGCTCGTCCGACCCCAAACAGTCCGATTTCTATTTTAAGGTTATTTTTTTATGATTTTAAGGTTAAGTAACCGGCGGTCTAACGGCGAAGGCCGACGGTTTTAAAAAATATATATATATATAAATATGTGCAAAAATTGAAGTTTGTTCAACCTGCAATTTTCAATTTTTGAAAATATTTAGTTATACTTAAGCATAGTTTTTAAAGTCAATTGATCTCAAATTTGAAATTGTCACAAAAAAAAAATTGTAAAATTTTCTTAAAATATTATCTTGAAATGCTTAC